TAGGGTATTTCAAATCACCCTAGCAAACTACACAATCAGGATTTGGGTTACAAAGGATACAGACTGATTCTGGTAAACTTGAGCAGACAAGAATTTACTATAATGTTACCAGGTAACTCACTGAATCAACAGTCAGTTTGGAGAGTGAAATCTGTACTGATTCTTACCATTTGTATTACTCCCTCAAATGATACACCTTGGGCAGAAGTGTCTGACTATTCACACAGGTAAGTGGTAGAGAAAGGGGTAACTTCCCACTTTGCAATCATACTGGATGGCCAGATCTTGTCATCCTCCTTTACTAAGATGCTTCCCCAAAGAACCCTTGTATTCATATGCTAGGTAATTGGTAAAAACATCTGCCTCCATATAGGTCAACAAAATTAAGCTCTCTAACAATAAAGAAAAAAGAAGACATTTGAAAATTTGAATGGAAACTTGTTGGTTATAAGGGACAAAATAAGATTGAACTGGTTAAAAAAAAGTCTTTCTTCTTTATGTCCCACAAGTGGATGTGACACTTTTGATTACAGGTATTTTCCTAAATGTAGATGGAACTAGTGATTGATACAATAACAGTCCAAAATGACTTGCCTTCCCTGGGAGCCCATTTTCCATTGTTTTCTTGTTCTCATAGGTGATAAGGTTGACACTGAACTAAGACACAATACATCAGTAAATGAGCAGAATACTTACTAAAAGAACCCCACTGACTAATCTTCAGTCTCTTTATACTACTCCTCTATTTCCTTTTCCCCCAAACCAAGCCATAAAAGTAACATCAACTGTCTTCTGGATACACTTCCTTGAGTCTATTAAATCGGAAACTAGACAGAGGATGTTTTTCTTTTTTGGTTCATCAATTTTATCATATTTAAGAAAGATTTAGAAATATAACTGTTACACATTTTTTAAAATTCATATTCTCAAGTTTAGCTAAACATAAGTCAAACTTTAACAAAGTCCTCTACCATGTCCCTCTGCCACTTAAAACCAAGACTTCCCACTGTATAAAAGGTCATGCTTCTTTGTGGTCACAAAGACCTTCCAGCCTACCTTCTGGACTCCCTTATCACTTCCCTTTATATTCTAAGTATGATGAACTATACTGCTTTTAGTCACTCATCTCTTAGTACTCTCTGGAATGATTCTGGTCTAGCTCTTAACATCTTGCAAAGGAAGTTTTCTCCTACTTGTTCTCCAGCTGAGCAACATACCAATCACTTTCTTTGTTTTATCTCTGTTTTTCTATTAATTCCATTAATTATATAATTAATTATATAATTAGTGGAATTAATAGAATTAATTCTATTAATTATAGTTAGTTAATAGAATTAATAGAATCAGTTCTGTTAATAAAAATTCTATTATTTCTATTAATCTACATGCCATATTTTGTCACAATAACTGGTCTATAAATTATTTATTGTCACATCCCCCACTTGCACTTAGTGAACTATTTTAACAGCAACTGTTAAAACTGTTTCTCCTTCTTTTTGCTTCTCCTTCTTATTAATTTCCCACTGATATTCTCTTGAGATAATATTAATTCTCCTATTGGTATTTCCTCCCATGACCTATACATTTTATATCTGAAATTTCAAACCTCTGTTTCTTATTAGTATAAATATTGTTTTTAACTAGACACAGGGCTCTATATTTACTGACCATTTTAAAAGGTGGTTCTGAAGCAAGTTCAAAATGAATTTTTTTTGAACAAATTATACTCACTATACAATCTGAATAGCATACAAGATATTTTCTGTAAATAAATTTGGTTTGCATATTCGATAGTATTATAAAATGTTAAAAAATACCCAAGAACTCTTGGAAATCAAATGAAGTTCAATAGTATTCAGGTCATGATCTCAAATAGCCCTTACGTATTTTATGTTAAGAAACAGTCAAAAGTAACATTTGCAATAATTAGTAATTGCTTTTAAGGTCTCCATTAAACTAAATAACCCTCTATTACATCTTAAACAAAATAGAAGCCAAAACTGAAAATGACTATTAATTTTGTTTTGAAATAGGTCCAATTTCTTATTGCCCTTGGATTAGCTTAAACCTGTTTACGTCTGTTCCATTTTTTTTTTTTTTGCACAGTTGCTGTTGTACTATCTTTTTCCTTTTAAAAAGTGAGAGAATCAACTTTTAAAGGTTAGTGTTACAAGGTATTCTGGCATCTAATTGAAGTTGTCTCCTCTACAATTAAATCAGACAGACTGAATAATCAAGAACAAAAGAAGGGATGCAAATGTGTGCACAGTTTTAGCCTTAGAGCAGGGGAGATTTGAAAATCAGTTTACTTCCAACTATTTCTAGACCACAATCTATAAGAATAGACCATCTATTATGTATAAAGATTTTTGTTAAGCAAAGTAAAAATAAAGATTCGTTCTGATTTCTAAGCTCATTTTATTTCATTAATTTAAACTTTACTGAATCAAAGTTAGGGATAACATAAGTGTTTCACAACTCAGGACCCCACACTCTTGAAGGGAAGAGATATTCTTCCTGAGGGCATAATAACATGTTGCTTAATTTGTGTTTTTCTCTTTGTCACCATAAAAGGAAAAGAATTCATTTCCCAGAGGTTAAAGACTTGAGCTTAAAGCTGTAAAGTTGGTGAATACTTTGAAAAACATTATGCTTGTAACAGGGCTATTTTGGTAGACAAAAATTTTCATGGAACATTTAAATATCTCTAAAGAGTATTTGAAGAACTAAATTATTGACAAACACTGATTCAGTATCTAGAATTTTGTTCTTTTGAAATTATAGTCTAGAAAGTTACTTGTATTCCTATTATTTAGAATCTATACTTTTTGGTATACTTATTCCTCAGCTTTATGATTTCCCCCAATTTACAGACTTAGATGGAATGCCTTATTTTCTTTGTCACCCTAGCACTATGAACATTCAAAATTATAGACATTCCAAAAAACACATAAAATCTGGATTATATAAATTTCCTGACCCTGGTCTCCATTTCACAATGTTTCTGAATACACTTCCTGCCATCAGGACAAATATTCCCTGTTGTATACAAATGTTGCATAGAAAGACATCTTCAAGCAGATTCTTATAGTACTACTTTGACAAAAAACTACCAATTTTAGCCTGCTCTTATAAGCACAGACAAAATACACATGCATTTGAAGATTCAATTGCAGACAGCAAAGGTAATATAAATCTTGTACAATCTAAAAATAGGTCATACCAAAATATGAGATTTGGAAAAAATAGTACAATCTATTAAGATAAAATAAGAAAGAGGGTAGAAGGTTGTAAGGGACCTCCCCCAAACAAGATTAGCTATATCTTCACTGAAATATGCATGTCTAAACAGAGAAATGTATTTATTATATTTTAAAATAATGAATTTTCAAAGAAACAGACCAGAGTATGGCCTACAGAGTTTGATTCATTTTTTCGGAAGTTTTGAACATCCATTATATCGCACTAACTAGGATGTGGTCATTAACTTGATGTTTTTAATGAATTAATTTTAATACTCTTTATCATGTAGTTCAATAGTAAAGAGTAAAAATTAACTATGTATTTTTAATATTAAGGCTGTTTTTTTAAAGCAGTTGTTGATTTAAATACAAATGACAACAGTATGGCTTGTCTTTTTGTGCAAAGCTCACATACCTGTACAATGACTACATGATCATATCTGTTAAGTCCAACTATGAAACCGAGGTACAGCATAAAAGTATCAGTTTTGAAAAGAAATCTTATGCTTCAGTCTTACATCTAAGGCCTATAGTTTTAGAACACTGGGTGCTAGTGGCTTATGCCTATAATTCAAGCTACAGGCTAGGCAGGCAGAGATCAGGAGGATCTTGGCTTCAGGCCAACCCCAGGCAACTAGACCCTATCTCAAAAACACTCAACACAAAACAGGTTCTTGCTGAGTGGCTCAAGTTGTAGAACACCTGCCAGGCAAGTATGAATCCCTGAGTTCATCCACAGTACTGCCAAAGGAAAAAAGTGTCTATAATACATATTCAAATTTTATTATTAACATTTAATGCAAAGAAATAGAGACAAAAGTATTTTAGAGACAACAGTCATGTGTCAGGTATTTTTTAGTAAAAATACACACATATTAGGACTTTAAAACATTTATTGTGACATTTTAAATTTCATCAATGTTACATGAATATAGTCCCCATAAGTTTACAAGAAATATCAATTATTGTACTTACACAAAAGTAAGGTCAGTATCAATCATATTTATGATACATAGGGATTAGTTTTCAGATATATTATTCAAATTTCAATTACCATATTTTAATGTATGCTTTTTTTTAAGTCAGCCAAGCACTAACATTAGAATTCTCTAAAATCTAAGCAATGTAATTGTTTTTGTCTTGGCACTAGTGTTGGCATTCATTAAAGTAAATAGCTTAGGTAGCTCTCAGTAACTATGCCTTTTAGCTTCTATATGTAATATCTTAAGTATAATATAGGATTTCAAGTGGTAATCTGATAATTTTTGTTAATCAATTATCCTCTTCCGTCTGAATAATTCCATTTAATTTTTAATGTTTCAACTAAAACATAAATTACTAACATTGGAAAAAACAAAGGACTTAGTACTATTAGTAAAACGTAATACACCACTAACAAAAACACAATTTTTTTATTAAATACATATGCATTACAGCTGGGTATGGTGGGGCATGCATGTAATCCTAGCACTCGGGAAGAATGAAGCAGGAAATCAGCCATTCAAGCCCCGCTTGGGCTACATAGTGAGAAAACCGAAACCATTCACATGTACATTGTAAATTGATAATAAAGGCAATCTTTTTCCAGGTTAAACCAGGATAAAAGTAAAATTCCTTTTTGGGGGTACATTACAGATAGGCATTGCAGTACCTGGTTAATAAAAACATCAACAACGTCCACACCATGCACAGACAGACAAACCAAGGAAATTGATGTTTTCATGGACTTATTTAATTATTTGGACATGTCTTTCTCACCAAGTAAGCTGTCTGGAAGTAGCATAGATATGTTCTTGACTAATTCAGCGATGACCTTAAAAAAGAGACAACTGTGAAATAGACATGTAGAAAGCCTCCATAGCTCTTTCCCATTATTATATATGTATCAAGAAAAAACACTCTGAGATTATATTTTAATTGAATACATTTTTCTTCTTATCACAAAAAAAAAGACCTCAGTTAACAAAAAATTCCTAGAGATTAGTGACCAACTGAGGTTAATGGCCTGAGACTATTCTTTAGGCAATTAACTCCACCCAGCCATTCATTAATCCCTTGGAAATGCCCAGGTCTACAATTGTTATTGCTTAATTATAACCCAAATGGAACCATGAGAAATGAAACCTGTAATGTGATTGGCTAATGTACAAGAATTAAGTTCTCCATGAATGCCTGGTGCATATCAATTAAAATTGCATCACCCTTAAAAAATCCATATGCCTATATTTCTCTTCCCTTTTCAGTTCATAATAGCAATAATGACTTCAATGCTGGGCATTTTCTGGGAATTAATAGCCAGCAGATGTTAATGGCCCTTGGCTGTACCTTGAGCCACCTACTCCTCCCTGTTAGTCATTAATTTCTGTGAAATGCCCAGCTATTGCTTAATGAACTTTACAATTCAGTTAATGAAAATATGAAACATGGAAAGATATTTATTTATAGGTTTCCAAAAAAATCTAAACCTTTAGCTCAAGAAAAGAAAAACATAACCAAATCCAGTTTCAGATTTCTGAAACTTACACTGAAAACTGAAACTAGAAAGGATCATAGAAGATAATATATTTCAGACTTCATTTAAGACATGACCTCAACTACCTTCAAGGAGGAAGACTCCAGCTCATGGTAAAAGTTATCCTCTTCCCATTAGTTATTTATCCCTATGCTGATTAAAGATCATCATCATGTTTGTCAAGAATATTTTTTCCTCATTAAAATATTGCTGAAATAAAAAAGAAATTGTATTATGTATACATAAGAACTATTAAGAAAACTTCCTTCTTCTTACCCATGTGCTTGTTCTCTATGTAGCGTGATTCCGAGTTTGCAAACAACTCCATAAGTGGGAATCACTTACTTGTGTCACACTAGTTTAAACTTGATAAGTTTTAGCACCCATTCTTACTCAAGGGATAAAAGAAATTGCTTTAAATTGTAAACCTGCTATTTTATTAGCCTATTAAGGGGGCATTATTCAACCCTACTACAACTAATTAAAGGAACACAGTATCTGTCTCAAACCATCTGGTCCCCTAGATGCTATTGACAAATTTATCTGTTCTCATGCTGCATGTAGTTAAACTTTTCCAGTTAATAAATACTTAGCTATGGTAGAAATCTACCTGATGGAGCATGTGCTATGCCTCACCTGACAGCAGCATTTGTGAGAGCCCCATTGATGCCTAAAATTAGCCCTAGCACAAAATTATAGCCTTCAGGAAAGATCAGCTCCAGAATATATTAGTTTTCCTATAAAAATCAAGATCCCTTAAATTACATGAGTTACATAATCAGAAAGTCAGGATTCTGGCTTTGCCTACTGAACATATGAATTGCAAAGATAATAGTATAATATATATTGCTATTTGTAGCATTTAATAATTTATACAGGTCTTTATGGTATCTTATTTTGTTGATCCTTTCTCACAAAAATAACCACCAGAAATTTTATTTAGTGCTTTTGCAATTCTATAAAGATTTGTATTTTTTGACGTCATATGACACAAGTTTTTATTAAATGTTCAAAGATAGAGATAAATTCTTTATATTTTGATTGAATAATAGTTAACAAATTAAAGTAGTGATTAAATAGTATTAAATAAATTTCCAAAGACCATCTTAGAGAAATCTTTATAACTTTGCTAAAAATACATATAGAATAAACGAATGCAATTGCAAGGTTAATGTTTCTATGAATACAGATGTCTCAGAAACATGAGATTCTGATGCCCATTAGAGGGATATGAAGTCATTCATGGAAAATGAATGAATCATACCATAACTTGCACATATTACCTTTGCTAATTGTTCAAAACACAAGAAAAACAGAACATGATAAAACTCATTGGCCTATGTCCTGAACAGAGACACATGGCAACCCAAAATGTGGATAAACTATACTTCACAGGAATCATTTGTTTAATACTTCCCAATGCACATGCAATAATGGGCTGTCAGAGAAAACTTTGTCCTCATGTAACGTTAGTGGATGCACTCCTTATAAAGGCTGGAGTATTAGCATTTGATACACAGTTTTCATTTCACTAATCTTCAGACAAGTTTTCAATTTCCATAAGTTTTCAAAATAAAAATCTATCTCTAGCCTGACTTTATAAAATTATTTGAATAAAAAACAATATGGGTTGTAAATGTAGCTGAGTGGTAGAGCACTTGCCTAGAATGTTTGAAACCCTGGATTGGATTCCTAATGCGAAGAAAGAAAGGAGAAGGAGAAAGGAGAAGAGGAGGAGGAGGAGAAATAGAAAAGAAGAAGAAATTAGGAGGAAAGAGGAGGAGGAGGAGTTTTAAATAATCATTAATATTTTTCCTAGCTCTCATTAAGCTTTCCATCCTATATTTTTTTGTCTTCTTTTTTGGATCATAGGTAACTTTATTTTGCTGTACAATGGAGTATTATTACACTATAAAGAAGAATGAAATTATGTCATTTGCAGGAAAATTAATAGAACTGTCAATCATCATTTTAAGCAAAATAAACCAGGTTCAGAAACACAAATACTGCTTGTGTTCTCTCCTTTGCAGAATCTAGACACACATAAAACAGGAGTGTAAATGTGGGACTGTTTAGGGGTTGTAGGCATGATGGGGAAGAAGGAAAGAGAATGATAGGGTAAAATAATATTGAGTTATATAATGTCTATGTATGAAGACTGCATACTAAAACCCACTAAAACTGATAAAAATAAGGGAAAGGGAGACAGGGAAAAGAAAGGGCAGTATAGTGGGTTAATCTAACCAAAGTTCAATATATCCTTGTATGGAAATACCAGATGAAACCCTTTATACAATTAATATACACTAATAAAAATAACTATGTTTAGAGAATCTGTTGGCATATTACTTTCTATTTTAAAACTTGTTTTCATCTGCTTTTCATTATCAAAATGAAAATCGAAAGTGAGAATTCTTATTTTTTGAATCCAAATTGTTTCTTATGCATTATTTCCTATATATTAACTTAGACATCAACTACTTAAAGATATGACAGGAATGAAAAATTTATACACCAGTGTGAGTGTGTAAATATTACTGATAGAGTCAATATACACAAACTTTTGGCCAAATGCTCTGGTAATGGTATTTCTGGACAAGGTTCTAGAAAGATGAATGCCCTTATTTCAATGTGGTTTTAATACACGCAAGTCCTACATCCTAGCTCCATTTCATGAAAGAAATATTTTGCTATCCACAACTCACCTAAAGGATCAATCAGATAAAAGAAAGAAAAAGAATGACTGCAAGATCTGTGAAAGAATGGGAAAAGGTCTTTTAATGAGTGAAAAATTTCAAAGATATTAAAGTGCACAATATAGCTGATTGGAAATTGGAGGCTGGTGAACAAATTCAGCCAGAAGATGTGCTGTTTTTCTGCTTTGGGAGTAAAAATTGAATAAGTTGCAAATTTTTTAAATTGGGTATACTTGCATAAATGTATTTTTAAAATGAGTAAGTCTATAATTGGAACTGTGTAAAATCATTCCCTTTAGATAGGACCTGCACCTTCCATGGTCTCCTTAATATTTGCACCTTACCAATCACTATTTACATTTCCACCCTGCAAGGAAATAAGGCTTCATAATTTTGTGAGCATCTGTGTATGTGTGGCAAAGGGGTGCACCCATAAGTATTAAGATGCCATAACATCCCCTTTCTAACTTCCCCTATATTCCTTTTTTAACCAGTCTTTCCAGATGATAATAGCCAAGGATCAAGCAGCTACATCTTTAGTAAGCAAAGTTGAGGGATTAATTTTTCTTGCTTATTGGAGAATGAGTTAACATTCCCCAATTTGACTGATTTATCATTATTTTTAAGCTACTTAAATCCTAAAATCTATTAAAATGCACTATAGCCAATGCAGACTAAAGAAAAGTAAATTCCTCTCAATCTTTAAATGACTCTCCAAAGGATTCAGATATATTCCTCTTGCAAAAATAGCTTAAATTCCACTGCAGTGGCTCACACTTGTAATTCTAGCTACTCATGAATCAGAGCTAAGCCTAGGCAAAAAGTCTGAGAGACCACCCATCTCAACCAACAAAAGTCGGATGCGGTGGGGTGCACGTAGCATCCCAGCTATGAGGAAAGTGTAAATAGGAAGTTCACAGTGCAAGCTAGCCTGAACATAAACAATGAGATCCTAATCTAAAAATATCTAAAGAACACAAAGAGGTGCATAGCTCAAGTGGTACAGCACCTGCCTAGCAAGTGCAAGGCCTTGAATTCAAACCCAGTACTGCCAAAATAAAAAATAGTTCAAGTATTTTCAGTTGATTTCTAATATTTTCACTTACGTACATATTCTACCTTGGGTCAGGAGTTTCATCATGATTAATATCTTTAGCCTAAGCACTCATTATTAATCATATTTTTCATTCCTGGAGTCACTCAAAATATAATGAGATAATATTTTATGACAATGCATTAATACTTAGAAGTTTCTGGTAATTCATCAGAATATCTCCAAATTCTACAAGAACTACATTTCATAATCTTTGCAGTGTTACTCATTGCATCATAAGAAAAGCATTTTTCTTTGTCTTGAGAGAACTTCTTTAGCAATAGTAGTAATTAATTGTGTTATAAGGAAGAAAAGGCATATAGGATGGCAGTTCCCTAGCTTAGCCTTGGAATCTCTTGCACCTTGCAAAAATTCACTCCAAGACCCCATCTATGGAGATTCTCATCAAGTGGATTTGAATAAAACAATAAATCACAGTTTCCCAAAGCAGAGACCCTGGCAACAATGTTTTATTTAAAGTTCTCCACATGATTACAATTCTCAGTAGTAGCTCCACTAACATGGAAA